AGTGAAGACTGAAGAGGCTTGGCTTCTCCTCTGCGGCTACAGCGGAGAAGCCAAACCTCGCTGCGGCCAGAGGGGAAAAGCCTAGCCTTGAGGCTTGGCTTCTTCGCTGTGGCCGGACCAAAGGCCTGGGTCCCGGGTGCCTGAGGAAAACCAGTGCTGGCAGCCAGGGGAAGGAAGGCCTATTGCATAAATTTTCGTGCAGTGGGCTTCTAGTATATATATAAAAAGCTAAGTGACCAGCTGACTGGCTGGTAGGTATGATGCGCACTGACTACTAGGAGGCAAACACTCAACGCCGGAGCTGCCAAGCAACTGCAGAGTGCCCTTTCGCATTCTGGGACCCCTCGGAGGATGTCGGACTGCCGGTTTTGGCCTGATCCCTGCAGGCCAAGTCGAGGGACCCCACCTGCCAGAGGGACCCTGCTCACTCTGCAGATGCCCTTCCATCCCCCTTGCTGCCTCAGGTGCGGTGGCCAGGGAGGGACCGCAAGGCCCAGTGCACAAAATTCATGCATGGGTAGGGTCCCTAGCAGCTGCCAGCTGCCAGCTGGGGCCTTCCTTCCCTGGCTGCCAGCTAGAGCCTTCTTTCATTCCACGCCACCCCCTGGTAGTCAGTGCACGTCATAGCGAGCGATCAAACTCCTGGTCGGTTGAACTTCCAATGGGACACTTTGCATATTAGGCTTTTATATATATAGATTCAATGTGTGGATTTTATCCTGTAATTTTACAATGGCTGTTTCAAAGCCTGGAGCCCTAATTAACATGTATGTCTCTCCAGAAGTGGTATTGCTGTCAATTAATTTAGATTATATTTTTATTTTAGGGACATGGGATTGGAGTTATTTAGGGCTCATATTATAAGTGATCAAAAAGTCCAGACTAAGACAATTGATGGCATTCTTCTGTTGATTGAGAGAGAGAGGAATGGTGAAGCAATTGATAGAAGTTTACTCCGAAGCCTTTTAAGCATGCTCTCTGACTTGCAAGTAAGTTAACTACTTCACTTACTACAGAGCTGATGGTTATCCCTAGTTTGATGTGTAAAAACCAAATTAATAGTGTTGTTTACATAAAGAACATTCAATAAGTAGCTAATGAATAAGTAAACTCCATTATTTTGTTTCTCCCTCCCAGATTTATCAGGATTCTTTTGAACAACGATTTTTGGAAGAAACTAACCGGCTTTACGCAGCTGAAGGCCAAAAATTAATGCAGGAAAGAGAGGTATTTAAAAATCATGATTAATAAATCCACTGTATCGCACAATAGACCTTACTTATAGAACATAAGCTGCCCTTTGCATTTATCTTCCCAACATTGTGATGCTTTTCTCTCACTTAGGTGCTCCTTTCTTTTCTCTCTTCTTAAAGGCCAGAATTCTGGATCATAAACTCTACCTATAATTTTACATATGATTCAACCCTGCCACATTTGGCAGGGCTGCTTCCAGGATCTTTTGGACTTGACATTTTCTGAATGATTTATGGGGAGGAAAACAATAATATAAAAAACTATCTTTGTAGGTTCCTGAATATCTTCATCATGTTAACAAACGTCTAGAAGAAGAAGCAGACAGACTTATTACTTACTTAGATCAGACCACCCAGTAAGTATGACAAGCTCTGCCTAATAGCCTTAACCTGTGTTGTCGAATTGCTTAAGGCACTTTAGGCATCCCAACCATGTTAGTAACTATTTTCAGGTGTGAATTGAGATTGCTTAACAATTGTTTTTATAATACAAGCTTCAAGTTGTTATTTGATTAAGGATATGATTATTGGTTGTGTGTATGTGTTTAGGATGTAATTTAAAAATAATGTTAGAAGCTGGTTATCTTTGAAATCTTTGGGCCGATTAAAATTCAGTGGGTGTGCATAGTAGAAACTGTTTCTATGCTCCCCTATATATTACCAAAATAAGGAGTTCCTGTAAGCAGCATAGATAATTTCTTTATCTTCCTAATAAAAGCAGAGAAACTTGAAAAAGGCAGCCACAGCAAGACCTTGGATATATCTATATATATATATCTACACTAATAAAAGAGAAACATGCAAATTGGTGTCACTACGCTATGCCCACCAGCCAATCAGAGTGACTATGCAAATTAACCCAAGAAATATGGCGGTTAATTTGCATATGCAGGCACGGAGCGAAGACTGAAGGCTCCGGCCAGAGTGAAGACTGAAGAGGCTTGGCTTCTCCTCTGCGGCTACAGCGGAGAAGCCAAACCTCGCTGCGGCCAGAGGGGAAAAGCCTAGCCTTGAGGCTTGGCTTCTTCGCTGTGGCCGGACCAAAGGCCTGGGTCCCGGGTGCCTGAGGAAAACCAGTGCTGGCAGCCAGGGGAAGGAAGGCCTATTGCATAAATTTTCGTGCAGTGGGCTTCTAGTATATATATAAAAAGCTAAGTGACCAGCTGACTGGCTGGTAGGTATGATGCGCACTGACTACTAGGAGGCAAACACTCAACGCCGGAGCTGCCAAGCAACTGCAGAGTGCCCTTTCGCATTCTGGGACCCCTCGGAGGATGTCGGACTGCCGGTTTTGGCCTGATCCCTGCAGGCCAAGTCGAGGGACCCCACCTGCCAGAGGGACCCTGCTCACTCTGCAGATGCCCTTCCATCCCCCTTGCTGCCTCAGGTGCGGTGGCCAGGGAGGGACCGCAGGAGGTTGGCTCCAGGGCATGTCCAGCCTGTCTCGCCCAGTCCCACCCCACCAGCCACCTTCTAATTAATTTCCTTTCAATGTGCAGGAATCTGTGCACCGGGCCTCTAGCTTATTTCATAATGTAAATCAAGTTTTGAAATATGCAGTCTTTTCCTTCTTTTAGGCATAGAGTAATGCTGATCATCAATAAATTTATACATAGGACAGGAATATTAAAATGAACTATTTGATTTTTCTCACCCAGAAGAGGTTTTAAAATTTCAGAAAAGTCAAATCTCAGTAATTCTAAACTCTTTTTTTTTCTTTGTAGGAAGTCATTAATCGCTACTGTAGAAAAACAACTTCTAGGTGAACACTTAACAGCAATTCTTCAGAAAGGTAATTGGCAATTTATAAATCAAACTACAATTTATAAATCAGATAGCAGCAAACAATTGAAACAAATTTAAAGATTGCACTTTTAAAAGCTTGATAGCTGTGGTGGCTGCACTTCTAAGGATGGATACAACCCTTTTTTCCTATTCACAGTGAAGTTTGAAGAGGTGCTCCTTTCCTTAACTTAAGATACAGGAGCTAAGATGAGAGAGGTACACCAACACTGGTGAAGAAACAGTGGGAATTTGGGAATTCTTGATTTAATTTCTAACACTACAGTAAGGAAAGGCATTCCGTTTTGCATTAAAGTGTTTTTGTTCTTAGCATATAAAACTAAGCACTTCTACCAAACATTGCTAAGTGATCTTAGAGTATACCCTGCATTTACTTTGATAATGCCAGTGATAGGTAAAAAGTCTGGCTTTCAACCATCTTTTCTTTTGTATAAAATGGATATATTTTAGAACTTGAATATACTGTTACTTCATTCTGAAAATCAAATACATTAGAACCTCATTTAAACTTGGACTATTAATGTATGGTTCTTGATATACTAGAGGCCATATCCAATACTCTGATATATAGCTATGTACACTAATGCCAGATATAGTATGGCTACTAAAGATATGAGATTTTTATAATGTGCATTTATACAAATTTGTTTTTATAAATTGGTTTAAACATCTGATCTACCATGCTAAATGGTACAAACAATTACACAATTATTTTTATATAGGCTGAAGTTTCCTATATTTAGTTTTCACTTGGAAAGGTGATTGTCTATCTGGGTTTAATTTAAAGCAAATCTCTATATAAAATTCACAGACTAGTCATAGCTCAGGCCAGTATTGCAATAATAATTTAACTTAATTTTCATTAAAATATCTGTCATTTTTGTTTACTTTTTAAATACCAAAATGTTTCAAATTTCAGGTTTAAATAACCTTCTTGATGAAAACCGAATTCAAGACTTATCTCTTCTGTATCAGCTCTTTAGTAGAGTTCGAGGGGGAGTTCAGGTTCTCTTGCAACAGTGGATTGAATACATTAAGGTACTAACAATTGTGATTATTTTTTCTCCATAATGGTTTATAATCTGTACACCTAGAGTGCAGATCAGCAAGTATTTCTTACTAGTACTTGTTAGATCCAGTATTTTTTTAAAAATGTTAGCCCTAGCCAGTTCAGCTCAGTGGGATAGAGCACCGGCCTGTGGACCAAAGGCCCCGGGTTCGATTTCGGTCAAGGGCACATACCTTTGTTGCAGGCTCCTCCCCAGCCTGGGCCCTGGTTGGGGTGCGTGCAGGAGGCAACCAATCAATGTGTTTCTCTCACATCAATATTTCTCTCTGTCAATAATAAAATAAAATTTTAATCCTTAGAGGACATACTCAGAGGAAGGGAGCAAGAGAGAGAGAGAAACATTGATGTGAGAAAGAAACATCGATTGGTTGCCCTGACTGGGGATCAGACCCAATATGTGCCCTTACTGGGAATCAAACTGGCAATCTTTCAGTGCACAGGACAACACTCAACCAACTGAGCCACTCTGGTTGGGCCCAATATTTTTTAAGTAATGGGTGTTTTGAGAGCAGTCAACCTGAGAATGATAGCTGTGTGGTAAATCAGCAATTAAACATTTACCTTCTTGATGTTGGCTATGATTTCTAGCTACAATGCTTATAGCAGTGAATATGGAAAGAGGACTTTTATTGGATCCAAAATATCCTTCCCTTTCTTAAATCTTTACACTGAAGGCAGATTGCCATTTTTATAAAACTTAAAGTTGACTTCTTTAAAAGTATGAAAAAGAGCCTAGAGACTTACAATCATGTCCCATTATGATATTGTGTACCCAGTGCTCATTTGTTATTTTGTGGTACAGAGGAATGGTATCAGTGTAGATGTTTTATCACTTTATTTTTTCCTGACTTCAAAAACAGCTTTATTTTACTTGTTGAGATTTAAAAATATGTATACGTACTTAAAATATGATTTGGGGATTGTTTTCATTGTGGATAATTCAACTTTAGTAAAAAGTGGTAATTTTTGTTGTTTAGGCATTTGGCAGCACAATTGTAATTAATCCTGAAAAAGATAAAACCATGGTTCAAGAATTGCTGGATTTTAAAGATAAGGTTGACCATATTATTGATATCTGTTTTCTGAAGAACGAAAAATTTATCAACGCTATGAAAGAAGCATTTGAAACATTCATTAACAAGAGACCAAATAAACCTGCCGAACTTATAGGTACTTTTCCAATCTCTTTTTTCCAGTTATTAAATGTTTTTCTTTTATTCATAAAATTTCAGTTAATCTGAAATTTTGACAGGATGGCAATATAACAACACCGTTTATTTGATGTTGCTTAGCTGGTAGTTTCTAAGAACCTGAATGTAAGGAATATTAATTCTTGAAACTAAAGAAAGATTCAAAGTCAACCTGTCAAACATAATGTTCTTTCATTGTAAGACAGTACATTGGACCCTATTTATTTTTGTTTATAATAAGCTTGAGATCTGTTTTATAAGCCCACAGCAGTTTAGAGGGCCAGGGTGCTATTTTTAGAGGCTCACAGTTAGGGGTACAAGAAAGTATAGCAGAAATTAAAATTGCCAGTGAGAAAAGGAAAATGCCCAGGACAAAAACAAACCAAATAATCTGGGCCCACTTAGTGTAAGGGTGTGATTTACTGTAGTGTTTCTCAGGTTTTCCCACCTAAGTACCCCTTAATGTCAGAAGAGGATGTACTCTGAGAAGGTCTAGGGTCTTCTGCGAAAAAGATAAAATTTCATTGGTGTACTACTTTTACTTAATTTTTTTGCCTTCAACTCTGTAATTCATATGGTTTGTTTTAATAGAAAAGTAGTGTTTAAGGTTGCTTACCATCATTGTAAAATGGACACTCTAGTGGAAAGTACATTAGGTCTGGAGTCAGAAGACTTGGATTTGAGTTAAGACTGAAATATTTGCTAACTCTGTGACATTGTTTAAAGAAATGCATGTATACCTCTGAAGCACGGAAAAACTCAGTATATCATACTTCTGTTAGGGTATATGTAATGCCCAGTATGATAAGGATATCTATGATCACTAAACAACAAACTTTCCCCCCATTTTAGCTAAGTATGTAGATTCAAAGCTTCGTGCTGGCAACAAAGAAGCTACAGATGAAGAACTAGAAAAAATGTTGGATAAAATTATGATCATATTTAGATTTATCTATGGTAAGTTTATTTTTATTTTAATATTTTTCTTTTAAAACACTCAACAGAGAAATTAGCAAGTAAAGTCAACCTGGAAGGAATATTATTTGGGAGTTAATGTAAAATTGTATTTGGGATATTTAAAATTCGATTACATTCCTTGCATTTAATTCATTGGGATGCTTGAGGAATATTATTTAATTGCCCTGTGTTTTGACTTTTCCATTATTAGTAGCCTTGATTTTTGTTACTTGTTGTAATCTCTAGAGCAGCGATTCTCAACCTGTGGGTCGCGACCCCTTTGGCAGTGGAACAACCCTTTCAGAGGGGTCGCCTAAGACCATCCTGCATATCAGATATTTACATTACGATTCATGACAGTAGCAACATTACAGTTATGAAGTAGCAACGAAAATAATTTTATGGTTGGGTCACAACATGAGGAACTGTATTTAAAGGGCCAGAAGGTTGAGAACCACTGCTCTAGAGTATTGATGCTAGAGCTACTAGTTGACTAAAGCTTTTCTTTTTTTAAATTTATTTTTAATTTTTTTTTTCTTAATCCTCACCCAAGGATAGTTTTCCATTGATTTTTAGAGAGAGTGGAAGGGACAGGGAGAGACAGAGAAAAAACATCAATGTGAGAGGGACACATCAATTGGTTGCCTCTCACACGCACACTGACCAGGGCCAAGGGATCAAGCCTGCAGCCTAGATACATGCCCTTGATCAGAATTGAACCCGGGACCCTTTAGTCTGCAGGCTTGCACTCTATCCACTGAGCCAAACCGGCTAGGGTGACTAAAACTTTTCTAAAGAAAAGTTAATGCAGTCTCAGTTCTTTTAAGCAAGGAACTTTATTTTTGTTAATACTCATCCTAAGGTATTTTTTTCCATTGATATAAAGAGAGTAGAAGGAAGGGATGGAGGGAGGAAGAGAGAGACAGACAGACATCGATTGGTTGCCTCCTGCACATGCCTACCAAAGCTGGGGATTAAACCTGCAATCCAGGTATGAGCCTGAGCCCTTGACTAAGAATTGAACCTGAGACCCTTCAGTGCATGGGCCAGTGCTCTAACCACTGAGAAATACTGGCCAGGGCACAAGGAACTTTTGAAACATCTGATATAAATGACTGCCTCTAATATTTCTTGCATTTAGTGAACTTGGATAAAATGTATAAATTTAAATAACTTGGAGTAATAGTGTGATTTATTAAATACTTCAAAGCAATTTTATCAGAACTTTTAATTGGAGTGTTTTATTATTTAAAATAGGCAAGGATGTTTTTGAGGCCTTCTATAAGAAAGATTTAGCCAAACGCCTGCTAGTTGGGAAGAGTGCATCTGTAGATGCTGAAAAATCAATGCTCTCCAAACTTAAACATGGTATGTTTGTCATTCTTTCTGTTCATTTTCTTCTTTGACTTCGGGGGGGGGGGGGGGTGGCTGTTAGCTTAATTTTTACTGTTTTGTCAATTATTCTATGTTCATATGATGAAAATGTAAATTGAGTAAGCTCTTGAGGTTTCCAGTCTATTTTTGCAAACATGTCCAGAGCTGTTGTGATTCTTAAAAAATAAAAGATTGTTCTTGTTTTTATTATTTGTATAAAAAATTTCCCATTTATTTTATTTCTAAGTAGGAGATAAGGTTGCTACTATAGGATTAAAGAGTTTGATTCTCAATTAGTGGGGCATACACTTTACGGTAGGGATTTTTTTATTCTTATGAATAATTACAGATCATAGTTCATGCTATTACTTTGTTTTACAATCATGTTTTTAATTTTAAATTCCTTGTTTTTAACCACTTTGTAATATTATAAATGTATAAACATCTTTAATAGAATGTGGAGCTGCTTTCACCAGCAAACTTGAAGGGATGTTTAAAGACATGGAACTTTCTAAAGACATCATGATTCAGTTCAAACAGGTAAAAGTGAGTTAAACTCTTACTTCATTCCTTGAACTTTAAATATATTTAATTATCTACTTGCTGTGGTTTGTATTGAAAAGGATAAATAGAAACATGTTTTTATAAATATTTCATAGCAACTTAAGTGAAATGTAAGTATATTTGACCTATTTTAATATTCTCAATGTATACCAAAGATAACACAAAAATAGAAATAAAGTGTATTGAGCTGAAGTCAGAACAAGAAAAGCTGTAGCTAGATAATGAGAACAGGACTTTCTCTAGCATCTAATCATTGTTGATGATTCACATGTTGAAAGCTGGCAATGGAGAGGGAGGAGACGTGACAGAGTGGTTATGTAAGGCCTTTGGGGACATTGGCAATGAGAAGCTAGATCCACAGTTTCGCAGATGTTGTGATAGGTGGTTTTCAAATATTTAAAGGCATAGGAATAGTGATAGCAAATGAGACTTTCTTCTCTTAGGGTTTTAGTAATGACTTTTTTATCACTATATTGCTACAGTGGGAAATGAGAATTGAAGACTCAAGAGAAAGATCAAGATCAGTAGGATCATGGGTCCTGTGGTAGCTACAGAATAGGGTTTATCTGCTTTGCCCTTTCCCTTTTTTCTTCCTTCCCCACTTCAGGTCATCGCCTGTTTGCAAGTGAAAAACCGGAGACTTGGGCTGGCTGGTGGGGTGAGGAATGGGGGTTGCTGCAAGGTGTTCCAAACCACATAGGGGTCTCCAAAGGTGGGGACTGCAGGTGGTATGGGGAAAACAATGGAGAAGAGATTCTATAACAGCCCAGCTATATGTGAGAGACCAATTAAGTTGATAATGCTTCTAATGAGGTCATGTGGCCTTGTGCCATTGTAACAAAATGTTAACCAGTACACTTTAAAAAATATATATATATATTTTTTTTACTGATTTTTTACAGAGAGGAAGGGAGAGGGATAGAGAGTTAGAAACATCGATGAGAGAGAAACATCGATCAGCTGCCTCCTGTACACCCCCTACTGGGGATGTGCCTACAACCAAGGTACATGCCCTTGACCAGAATCGAACCTGGGACCTTTCAGTCCACAGGCCGACGCTCTATCCACTGAGCCAAACCGGTTAGGGCAACCAGTGCACTTTTGCAGTGCATTTAATATAGGCTTCATTTTTAGTCCTTTAATAGTTGACTTTTATTTTAGAGATGGTCAGTATTTGCATGTAATTTTATAATGGGGAACTTCTTGAATGGGTCATTATTGTGAAATGAAATGTTTGCATTTTCAGTTTTAAAATCTCAGTATGTGTGTTTGATTTTATTGTAGTATATGCAGAACCAGAATGTACCTGGGAATATTGAATTAACTGTGAATATCCTGACAATGGGTTATTGGCCAACATATGTGCCTATGGAAGTCCATTTACCACCAGAGGTAAGAATTGCTGTTTAGGACTTGAATTATAAGCATAGAAATACATGACACTTCTATTTTGTTTGCCATTGAAAAATAGATACTTTTAATAAGAGTTTGTGTCAGTAAGCACACCAATGCAAAATGCCAGCTGTTTTAATATTTTACTCTTCTATTTATATTAATATTATTAGAGCATAAAGATGCCAAGTTTCTGGGTTCAGGGCTGATTTCCCTGGCTCTTCTTTCATTTCCCAAGATTGTACTCACCTCTCTGCTCAGCTCTCAAAAAGTCTTGCTCATGTGTCACCTGGGGATTGGATTGCTGAGTGATGAGGGCTTGAGTAAATCCATCCTAACTCCTTGGGGAAATGTTGAACCTCAGTATTGAAGCTTAGAAAAGGGGTTAAGACTAGAGAGATAGATAACTGAAAATCCTCCAGGGAGATAATCATGGACACCCAGGGAGTAGATCTCTCTCATTAGGAGGGAGAATGTAGAAACAGGAAGAAGATGGCTGAACCAGAACTTTGGAAAGGGTTGTCATTTGGAAGGTGGTTGGAAGAGGAACCTGTGAAGAAAACCAATGAAGAAGCAATAGTGAGAGAGAGGATCTAACATGGTGCAGAGGCACAAAAGGCATTGGAGGTAAATGTTTCAAAAGAGGGAATGATTAAAGCAAGAGTGTGAAGACTGATAAATGCCATTAGATTTGGTAGCTGGGGGACCATTGCCTTATATCAGTGATCAGTGAACCTATTGGATAGTCTTAAAAACATCCAGAAATTAGTATACATGAGGTAAATATAAAGAGTGGTGAATGTGTGATATTGGAAACAGCTTAAATAAAGCTTTATTTTATTTACTGTAGATGGTAAAACTTCAGGAGATTTTCAAGACATTTTACCTAGGCAAACATAGTGGCAGGAAACTTCAATGGCAGTCAACCCTAGGACACTGTGTGTTAAAGGCAGAATTTAAAGAGGTAAGTGGATGTTCCCCAAACTTAATTTTCATGTTCATCTTTGATATTGAGGTCATCCCTCCTAACTTGTTTATAACTGTATCTTTAATGTCTATATGACAGTGATAGCTTGTCACAGCTTTCTGTATATTATAAGAATTTGGTCTTTTCCACAGTTGATTTGACCCTGCTGCAAAACCAAGAACAGTACCCCTTTCATCCACTCTTTCCCCACCTGTGGATGTACTAATAGAATCCACTGCCACTTCTTGACAGAAAACTTCTTATTGCTGGGAGCTCGAGAATAGAGTTCCTGCAGCTTTTCATGACTTACCTGAATCAAAAAAGTCAAAAATGCATTTGAAATAGTGATTTCTTGGTGCTTATGATAAATATCTGTAATGACAAATAAGAAGGCTAAGTTATTAGTTTTCATTACTTTGTTGTTCAGTTTTAATTATGAAGCTTTAAAAAAGATTTTAGAAACATCACCCAATACTTCCTCCTGTTTTAGGTAAGACCACACTTAAGCCCAATACTGAACATACTGGCTTTTCTGGATACTGTTAATCCATGTTTCTAAGTCCAATAATTGAAAAACAAATGCTTTCCCTGTAAGAGAGTAGTTATTTGATTAATGCTTTATATATATATATTTTTAAAAATGATGGCTAAACATTGCTGTTTCTCTAACAGGGTAAAAAAGAACTCCAAGTCTCTCTTTTTCAAACACTGGTGCTGCTGATGTTTAATGAGGGAGAGGAGTTCAGTTTAGAAGAGATCAAGCAGGCTACTGGAATAGGTTTGTGTTGAATCAGTTGATTAGCAAGCATTATTCAGTGTCCACTCTGTGCACTCTGCTAGGTTAAGAGCTCTGGGGGGATATAAAGGAATAATCCCTCTCTTTGGCACTCATAATGTAACCACTGGGAAAGGGGGAAATGACACTTGAAATAATTTCAAGTACCAGTCTGTGGTGCTGACTCTCAGTGTGTTAGGAATTTGGCAAAGCAAGAGATCACTGTGGACTGGTACATTTGGGAAAGCCTTTATGAAGGGGGTGGGACTTGAGTTGGACCTTCAAGCTTTAGTTAGGGAGAAAGCATATGCTGCAAGTGGAAATAATTGTGAGAAAAGACTTTCGGAGGTAGCGACAAGCACAGTGTGAGCAGGAGTCATGAAGAGTTTAACTGCAGCACAGAATCCTATATAATAAAGATGTAATATGCAAATGGTTATGTAACGACCGACCGCATAAAGACAGGATCACAGAGCAGCAGGAGGGTGAAGCAGTGAGATATAAGCAGGCAGTGGAGAGCTACAGGAGGGAGCAGGGCAGCAAGCTATGGGGAGGAGGGCGGGGCAGCTGGTGGAGAGCTACAGTAGGGTAGCAGTGAGCTACTGGTTCACTGATTTGTGCGCAGGGCTACTAGTAGGGAGATAAAAAGTTAGGGTAAGATGGGTAGAGACTTACAAATCTAGCAAGTGAAATATATTGTAGGGTCTCAATATATTTGACATGGAAGTGACTTATGTAGGGCAGCTTGAAAGATGAAGAGGTTCCAGTTCAGTAACTAGTGGGGTAATTCTGTCATAAAATGATAGGGGCTTAGACTAGAATGAGGCCAATGAGAATGGAGAAGAGGCATCTCTAAGGAAGCAACAACTTACTAGATAAGTGGAGGATGAAGGAGAAGAAAGATAATTGCAGGGTTTCTCACCCGAATAGGTTGGTAGATTCATGACTAAAAGTTGGAAAGAAGACCCAGTTTTATGGGGAAGATGATGAATAAAATTTTGAACATACTGGAGTAGATGATAGTAAAAACAGCCAGGTGGAGGTGTCCTTTAAATGTGGGACTGGCCCTAACCGGTTTGGCTCAGTGAGAGCATCGGCGGCCTGCAGACTGAAAGGTCCCAGGATCGATTCCGGTCAAGGGCATGTACCTTGGTTGCAGGCACATCCCCAGTATGTGTAGGAGGCAGCTGATCGATGCTTCTCTCTCATCGATGTTTCTTACTCTCTATCCCTCTCCCTTCCTCTCTGTAAAAAACCAATTAAATAAATAAATAAATAAATAAATAAATAAATAAATAAATGTGGGACTGGAGAGAAGTGAGATAAAATTTCTGAAGGTTTGGTAGTTAATTCACATGGAATGGTAATTCAAGTCTTTAGAGGATGACCAGGAAAAAAAGTCATTAGATGAAATACAGAGGGAGTCATTGGTGACCGTGGAGTAAAAAGGAAACAATATTAATAGAGGGATGGGGTGGAAGCTACATTGAGGTTGAATGTAGCTATTCTTGTTGATGAGCTATTATAAATGACTAAGCCACTATTTCTTCTTCAGAGGATGGCGAGTTAAGGAGAACACTGCAGTCTTTGGCCTGTGGAAAAGCTAGAGTTTTGGCAAAAAATCCGAAGGGCAAAGATATCGAAGATGGTGATAAGTTCATTTGTAATGATGATTTCAAACACAAACTTTTCAGGATAAAGATCAACCAAATCCAAATGAAAGAAACGGTATTTCTTTTACATTCTCCTCATCCTAATGCACTGGAATTATATGTGTTCATGATAAAAATTTATAAAGAAGATTTTATAGCTATAATACTACCACTGGTGTTAATATTTTCTATGGCTATCTCTATTTAGCTCAATGTATTTCAGTATTTTGCGGGTTTTATTTTTTGCAAGGGAGGTGCACACAGACTTGATATTTAACAGTTTTATATCCTGCTTTTTGTGTTTAATATTAAATCTTTAGACTTCTTCCATGCCATTAAATAAATATCTTGATAAAATGGCAGATGGCCATACAATATTCTTTTACAGGGCTAAGAAATTTTTAGTATTAGTATTTATAAATAAAACTGTAAGAAACCTCTTTGTACCTAAAAATCTCTCTGAGCCTCCTCTTATGATAAATTCATGGAAGTAGATCTTTTGGGTTGACGAGTATGAACATTTGAAGAATCTTAATACATTATGTCATATTGTGTTTCTGAAAGGCTGTACCAATTTATACTCTTGTCTGGCAGCATGACTGCCTGACTTAACAGTGCCCTCACCCGCTCTAAAGATTGTATTTTCTTTTTAAAATTTTTGTCAACTTGCTTGATGAAAAATCTGAATGATTTAGTATTTCTGTGATTAACAGTGAATATTTTGTTGGTTTTTGCCTTTTGAATTTGTATGACTTTTATTAAGGAACCAATAGCATTAATTGAAACCAGAAAAAGTTTTAGTGTGGGACAGAGGTCAATATCTCAGGCAAGCTCCTGTTTTGTTCTCATCAAAGGTGTGATATTCACTTAGAAGATGACTGTGTCCTTTTTAAACATTTATGATGTATCAGAAAGAAATTGCTGGCAAAAAGCCCAAATTATTATTTTGATGTAAGTGCCAAAAAATTATTTTCAAAAAAATTTTTTAATTAATTTATTTTTCAGAGAGAGACAGGGAAAGGGAGAGATATAGAAACATTAATGATGAGAGAGAGTAATTGATTGGCTCCCCCCTGCACGCCCTAGCCTGCAACCCAGGCATGTGCCATGACCAGGAATCGAGCCATGACCTCCTGGTTCATAGGTTGACGCTCAACCACTGAGCTACACCAGCAGGGTACAAAAATTATTAAGAAATAGTTTGACTCTGTTAGTTTAGCTTATTAGTACGATACTTTGAGTCAGAGGTCAGAGTCAATCATTTTTACAGAGAAGCTAATGTCATACAGAAATCTACTCAACAACCCCTTGTGACACATTTAGAAGATTTCAAGGACAGAATAAAAGAAAATGACAAGTTCAATATCATTTGGTGTCTACTTCTAGAAAAACAACTCAAAGATTGTATTTTTTATTAACTAATATTGACATTACTTCATAGGTACAGGGCAATATAATTAGGACAGAAAGAAGTTATGTTTTTTTTTCCTGTCATTTTCTGTATTTATCAAGGTCCTTTAGATAATTCAGCATATTTAGTGCATTAACAGTGTCATGTTCCTAAAATATACAATTAGTGTAAGTAATCAAGTTTAACTTGAGATATAATTCCTAAGTGAAACTTTTTTTGTTAGGTTGAGGAACAAGCAAGCACTACAGAAAGAGTATTTCAAGACAGACAGTATCAAATTGATGCTGCAATTGTTCGAATTATGAAGATGAGGAAGACACTTAGCCACAACCTCCTGGTTTCAGAAGTGTACAACCAGTTGAAATTTCCAGTAAAGGTAGGTACTTCTGTGTTTTTATATAATAAAAGCGTAATATGCAAATTGACTGAATGGCAGAACGGTTGGGGGCAGCCAGCAAGCGGCCATCAGGCCAGCCAAGGTGGGTGCCAATGGGCAGAGGGAGGGGACGGCGATTGGGGGGCAGCGGCGACTGGCAGCGGTGGCGAAGGGGTGATTGAGGGGGCGGTGCCAGAGATGCTACCTGGTGGTTAGTGCACTCCCACAGGGAGAGCCCTGCTCAGCCACAAGCTGGGCTAACAGCTGGCAAGTGCAGCAGAAGTGGTGGGAGCCTCTTCTGCCTCCATCACAGTGCTAAGGATGTCTGACTGCGGGCGTAAGCCGGCAGTCGGACATCCCCTGAGGACTTCCGGACTGCAAGAGGCCTCAGGCTGGGCTGAGGGACACCCCCCCCCCGCCCAGCACACAAATTTTCGTGCACTGGGCCTCTAGTTATATATAAAAGAATACATATTTTCAAACATGAATCTTACAAACATAGATTAAAGCCTCAACATC